TCTGCTTTCCTAGAGGGGCAGGAGAACAGTGTGTAGGCGTGGGGCGTAGCCTTTCGCTTAGACAAGCTGTTCTTAGTAACGTTCCGCAGGGCTCTGTTCTATGGCCGTTGCTTTTCGCAATTTATGTCAATGACCTATCCCAGGAGCTTGGGGTACCGTCACTATGGTTTGCTGATGACCTCAAGCTCTGGAATAAAGTGAATATCCATGGTGGCTCTGAGGCACTGCAGAGTGCCTTGGATAGGCTCTGGGATTGGTCAACCTTATGGTTGATGCCCATAAACCAGGCGAAATGTTCTGTTCTCCGCATTGGAGGTGCTAGTCCCCCCACGCGCTATCGAGTTGGTGGACGTGAAATCCCTGTTGTCACTCAGCAGGTTGATCTAGGTATCACCCATACCTCATTGCTTCACTCTGGGGAAAATTGGAGGAAGGCTGCTTGTTGAGGTTGCCGGATGATGTGGTTTATTCGCCGCTCCTTCGGTGTCCTAACGGCCAATATTTTTGTGAAGCTGTTCTCAGCTTTTGTGCGATCTCACTTAGACTACTGTATCCAGGCTTGTCCACCTTGTCTTGTAAGAGACAAAATGGAACTGGAGAGGGTATTGCGAGTGGGTACAAGGTTAGTGCAAGTATTACGGAGTCAAACGTATTCCGAACGTTTGCTTAGCTTGGGTATGTACTCAATGCACTACCGCGGAATTAGAGGATACTTGATCCTCACTTACCGTACCTTAACGGGTAAGATCGGTCCGGACTTGTCCTGGCTATTTAGTCCCTCCAAGCTGCCTAGTCTCCCAGGTCACCCGTTGAAGCTGCACAAACAGCGCCTAGAGCTTTTGCTAAACGATTCGTTTTGTCATATTCCATCCCACCGGGGCTGCTACAACTTCACAGGTAGTTCAAATTTGAACGAATTATAGCTTCACATCAACGGTCAACGTAGTAGGCGGTCTAGGCCAGTGTTTGAGGAATGCTTTGCACGTCGATGGTGGGAAGCCAAGCGCGAAGTGACGGACAGCCAGTGCTAACCTGGCCAGTGCCTTGGCTAATTTTTCACCTGTCACACATTAGGTCAACACCAATAACATACTATAAGTCATGAAATGCAGTCCTGTGAATGTGATTTCTATTATTTCGTCAACAGTGAATTAGCAGAGAAAAGGTGACAACAGACATCCCTGTCTCACACCGTTGGAGATGTAACTCGGCGACGGCAGCTCTCCGTAAATCATCGACAAGGACATGGGTCCCGAATTTCACGAGTGTTGTAGGAATATCATGGCATCCCGCGATGTTATTTAACTTCAACATTGCGATCTCACGTTCGACTTTTGAGCGAAGGGTGGTTCTAGAGGGACAGACCACGGGTCTGGGCGATCACTGGCATTCAGACTACCTGGGTTCCCCAGTTACCTGGTGTCAATGCGCGCACGATGTCCTCTTGGGCGTCCACTAAACGCTTCCGTTGGTCTGCACACACAAGTGCATCGTCCGTGTCTACACATATACTCCAAATCCAGCGACATTTCTGGATGAAGCCTCTGCATTGTAACGTTATCGCAATGTGATGGTTTTGCGTCCATAGGTGGTTAGAAGGTAATGGGCGCCAAGGCACCCTACGGCGGTTTCTCTGTCGAAAATTAGTGATCGGAGGAAATAATCCACCATCATCACAAATAAACTAAGCACGTACCGTTATTATTACGGGAACCTACACCATGTTGGCCGCCAATATGCAGTTCATCAGTGGTTAATTTTCCAACTTGAGCGTTCAGATCCCCAGCGGGCACTACAGTGCCCAGCTGCTTCTGTGACGAAGTACCTCGTTCAGTTGTCGACAGGAGTCCTGGAATACCGTATCAGGAACGACGCTCCTCGTTCACATGTGAGTTTAATCTACAAGCGAAGGGAGTATTGAAACAAGGTGTGGGAGGGTCATGATTCTGGGGGTTGAAAACGGGGAGGATAAAAGTGAAGCTGGAACAGGACGATTGGGGTGGATAAGAGGGGTATAATAAGATGGGAAGGCTTGAGCAGTAGAATCCAAACCCCTATGCACCATGCTGGATGCAGCAGACAGGTCACCGTTGATTAGACTGTGCGGTGGCCGGAGCATCAGTACACTGCTTAAGGAAAGATTCATTGTATTGCGTGGGCAGGATACTGTCAGGTTGCCCAGGCCTAGACAGGAGAACGAATAGGGTTCTCAACCAAGTGTTAACAAGTGGCTTTTAGAGAACACGTCCACCTGCGCTGCCTATATGGCTAATCCGCCAATATTGGTCCGCCTCCACGTCACCTTTGCCGCCACTATCAAGTCCGTTGCACGTCCGGTAAGTGTATCCGCCGCTAACAAGTGCCTTTTATAGCACACGTCCATCTGCGCTGCCTATAGGGTTAATCCGCCACTACTGGTAAGCCCCTACGTCACCTTTGCCGCGGCTATGAAGTCCGTTTCACCTACGGTAAGTATGTCCGCTATTAATAAGTGGCTTTTAGAACTGCTGTGTATCCATGCTGCCTATATGGTAAATCCAGCAATATTGGTCCGCCTCCACGTCACCTTCGCCGCAGCTAGCTTGTCCGTTGTACGTCCGGTAAGTGTTTCCGCTGTTAATAAGTAGCTTTTAGAACTGCTGTATATCAATGCTGCCTATATGGTTAATCCGCCACTACTGATAAGCCCACAGGTCACCTTTGCCGCCGATATCCAGTCCGTTTCACCTTCGGTTAGTGTATCTGCTGTTAATTTTCCTCGATTTCAGGAGTGCGTCCGATTCTGTTCGAATTACTTGCGCGTAAATGTGTTCCCATGAAATATGTGAACATCCGTCGTGCTTTATACTCGAACACTACAGGCCGCGTCAGGGTGTATGGTGTCCTATCGGATAGCTTTTCAACTACAAGTGGCGTTCGTCACGGTTGTCCGATTTCCCCGTTTTTGTTCAATTTCGTCGTGGATTCTATCATGGAGTGTTCCGTTGCGGAATCTCACGATGTAGGCGTTGAAGTGCTGCCTGGTGAAAGGTTAGTTGATCTAGATTATGCGGAAGATATCGTCTTGCTTTTTGACGATGTTGGGGTGGCACAATCAACCCTGAATAGTCTGTCCAGGGTGGTCCCATTATTTGGTATGCACTTTGCACCTTCAAAGTGCAAAGTGTTGCTGCAGGACCATTAGCCACTTGATGACCCCTTGACGCTTGCTAACGAGGAACTCGAGGTGGTTGCTCATTTCACTTATCTTGGCAGCTGAATCAGCAACGATGGGCGCATAGAAACTGATGTGAGCTCACGCATTGCAAAGGCCAGAGCTGCCTTCTTGAGCCTGCGTCATCTTTGGCGACAGAAGGCAGTTTCTCTCCGTCTGAAAGGCCGTGTATACAAGGCCACAGTGAGGGTCGTTCTGCTCTATAGTAGTGAGACGGCCCCTTCTGTCTGAAGATCTGAGGCGCCTTCAAGACTCTGAGCATTGTTGTTTGCGAAGTATTGCTGGTGTCGGATGGCACCAGCGTGTCCGCAACGATGATGTGCGTAGGCGAGTACTAGGTGCTGATAATCATGCTAGCTCCCTAGAACAACAGATAGCACTGAATAAGTTGCGTTGGCTCGGGCACGTGCTACGCATGCCTGGTCACCGTTTACCTAGGAGGGCCTTGTTCAGTCTACCAGGTGTAGGATGGCGCAAGGCTCGAGGTGGACAGAAGTTGACTTGGCAGCGGAAAATGAAGTCACTGACGACCAAACTGGGTGCCGTTGGCCCGTCTCGTCTTCCGGGCTAGAGTCCACGTGACTTGCCTTGTGCTTGGCTCGAGACTTTACAGGACATGGCTCGCAACCGACACCAGTGGCGCGTCTGCTGCCGTCTCCTAGTCGGATTGTCTGTTTAAAGTGTGTTTGGTGCTGAGTTATCTGCCGGGTAATGGCTGATTATGACGCGTGGCAGTGAAAGCCGCAAGGAAGCTGTCTCGCCGATGCCGCCTTATCTTTGCACGATAGCCAGCTGTTTGTGACGGTATGTTGTTAAAACAAGGTGTAGGCGCCTTGACCCGGAATGTTTGCTTAGGGCATTAAGGTTTTCAGGTAAGTCCCCCTTCTCTCCCACTTCTTATTCTTTATTTCATAGGTCCTCATGGTTGTATGGCAGCGAAGCATCAGTTCAAATGGCTGATGTACTGCTGTTGATGATGATGATGATCAGCATAAACCATGGTCTCCGGGAGAGCATGCACGTCCACGTCACCGCCCCTATTTACTCCGTTTCACGTCCGGTAAGTGTATCCCCTGTTAACAAGTGGCTTTTAGCCAACCCGTCAATCTGCGCCGCTGATATGGTTAATCCACCACTACTGGTCAGCCCCAATGTCACCTTAGCCGCTGTTCTCTTGTCCGTTGCACCTCCGGTAAGTCTATAAGCTGTTATTAAGTTGCTTTTAGTCAACCTGTGCATCTGCGCTGCCTATATTGTTAATCCGCCAACACTGCTGAGCCTCTAAGTCACCTTCGCCGCCGCGATGTTGTCTGTTGCACACCCCGTACGTATGTGTGCTATTAATATCTGGCTTTTAGAACCGTCGTACATCCATGCTGCCTATATGGTTGATCCCCCACTGCCGGTCCGCCTCCACGTCACCTTTGCCTCGGCTGTCATGTACGTTACACGTCCGGTAAGTGTAGTGGTCGAAAAATACTAGGAAGGTTTCAACCCCTTAATAAAAGGCAAAAAGTTGAAAAGGGGCAACTCACAGTCTGATCACAGTTAAGTTCGAGTCGTAGGTTGCGCTATACCTGTAGCACACGTCGAGCACAATGGAAATAGACGTTCGATAATAATTCCGAGTATACTATCCGATTCGCAAGCACACTGGACGGCACCGTACACACGAAGAAGCAGCACAGCCAGAAAGCAGCACGACGGAACGCGGGGCACGAAGAAGTGTATTGTAATCATTAATTCAAACAAACTGTACAAAAGATGTCATGATAAAGTTGATGAGAAGAAAGACAGAATGTGTAAGATTAATAACCACTACATAACTCCCCCCGTAGAGCGTGAACTGGTAAGGTAACGCTCGATATAGCTAATTAGGGAACAAACTCAGCTAGTTTGGAGGGGGAAGACACAGAACGTCCTGAGCGTGTGTGCTTGGGATCACTCGTTGGGCGAGCGCATGAAGGTTCTGGAGCATTGGAATCAGTCGGTTGACCAACAGGGGGTAACAACTGAGGATCAGTCAAAGTAACGGCAGGCTCAACATAAGCGGGTTTAAGACGGTCAGTACTCACAGCTTCTTTCGATCCATTCCTTTCCAGTATGAAGTACTTAGGTTTCCGTGACAACACTTTGAAAGGACCTTCATAAGGGGGTGTCAACGGCTTGCGAACTGCATCAATGCGAATGAAAACAAAAGGACAAGTGCGTAAGTCCGGATGAATTCGTTGTTCGCGAGCAGTGAGGCGAGTAGACGTAGGTCGAATTGTTCGGAAGTGTTGTTTAAGACGTTCGGCGTGGGACACAGGATCTATCTCACCAGTGACTCGGGAATGCAAAATCATCTCACCTGGAAGTCTGAGAGTGGTGCCAAGGCGAGTTCGGCAGGGCTGCATCCAATATTCTCTTTGACGGTATTACGGGTACCAAGAAGGACAGCTGGGATGCGTTCAGACCAATGTGGATCAGGTGAATTAGCTGTGATGGCGGATTTAAGCTGTCGATGGAAACGCTCGACAAGGCCATTCGAAGCGGGATGATAAGCAGTTGTCCGAATGTGGGTAGAACCCAACAGACGATTCAAGTCGCGGAACAAGTTGGAAGTAAACTGAGATCCTCGATCTGTAGTGATCGTAGATGGCACACAGAAAAAGGAAATCCATGAGTCGAAAAATGCACGGGCAACAGATTCTGAAGATGTGTCACGTAGAGGAATCATCATTATCATCATCATCATCATCAACAGCAGTACATCAGCCATTTGAACTGATGCTTCGCTGCCATACAACCATGAGGACCTATGAAATAAAGAATAAGAAGAGGGAGAGAAGGGGGACTTACCTGAAAACCTTAATGCCCTAAGCAAACATTCCGGGTCAAGGCGCCTACACCTTGTTTTAACAACATACCGTCACAAACAGCTGGCTATCGTGCAAAGATAAGGCGGCATCGGCGAGACAGCTTCCTTGCGGCTTTCACTGCCACGCGTCATAATCAGCCATTACCTCGCAGATAACTCAGCACCAAACACACTTTAAACAGACAATCCGATTAGGAGACGGCAGCAGACGCGCCACTGGTGTCGGTTGCGAGCCATGTCCTGTAAAGTCTCGAGCCAAGCACAAGGTGAGTCACGTGGACTCCAACCCGGAAGGCGAGACGGACCAACGGCACCCAGTTTGGTCGTCAGTGACTTCATTTCCCGCTGCCAAGTCAACTTCTGTCCACCTCGAGCCTTGCGCCATCCGACACCTGGTAGACTGAACAAGGCCCTCCTAGGTAAACGGTGACCAGGCATCCGTAGCACGTGCCCGAGCCAACGCAACTTATTCAGTGCTATCTGTTGTTTTAGGGAGCTAGCATGATCATCACCACCTAGTACTCGCCTACGCACATCATCGTTGCGGACACGCTGGTGCCATCCGACACCAGCAATGCTTCGCAAACAACGATGATCAAAGACTTGAAGGCGCCTCAGATCTTCAAGACGGAAGGGGCCAAGTTTCACTACCATAGAGCAGAACGGCCCTCACTGTGGCCTTGTATACACGGCCTTTCAGAAGGAGGGAAACTCCCTTCTGTCGCCAAAGATGACGCAGGTTCAAGAAGGCAGCTCTGGCCTTTGCAATGCGTGAGCTCACGTCAGTTTCTATGCACCCATCATTGCTAATGCAGCTGCCAAGATAAGTGAATTGATCAACCACCTCGAGTTCCTCGTTAGCAAGCGTCAAGGTGTCATCGAGTGGCTGGTGGCCCTGCAGCAACACTTTGCACTTTGAAGGTGCGAAGTGCATACCAAATAATGGGACCACTCTGGATAGGCTATTCAGGGTTGATTGTGCCGCCTCAACATTGTCGAAAAGCAACACGATATCGTCCGCATAATCTAGATCAACTAACCTTTCACCAGGCAGCACTTCAACACCTACGTCATGGGAACACTCCATGATAGAATCCACGACGAAAGTGAACAAAAATGGGGAAATCGGACAACCGTGACGAACGCCACTTGTAGTCGAAAAGCTATCCGATAGGGCACCATAGACCCTGACGCGGCCTGTAGTGCTAGAGTACAGTGCACGAATGACGTTCACATCTTTCGTGGGAATACCTTACCGCGCAAGTAATTGGAACAGAATCGATCGCACTGTTGAAACCCAGGAACACAGCTATTGTCGGTCTGCGGTATGCGTGGCGCTCCTCTAGCACCTGCCGCAAAGTAAATATATGGTCTATACAGCCACGTCCTGGGCGAAAACCGGCCTGCTCTTCTCTAATCCGAGATTCCCGTTCTGCAGTGAGGCGACGAACGATAATCGAGGCCAGTAATTTTGTCACAACTGGCGTTAGGCTAATACCCCTGTGGTTCGCACAGTCTGTGCGACTGCCCTTTTTGTATATTGCCACTATAATCGATTCGCTCCAATTAGCCGGCACACTCTCTTCGTTCCAAATACGTTCAAATAGGGAGGTCAGTGCTTTGCAGAGGACCTCACCTCCATCCTTAAATAGTGCAGGTGGGAGGGAATCCGGGCCAGCGGCACGAAAACGATTGAGGGCTGTGATCGCGTTTCGGACCTCGGCCTCCGACGGAGGCTCTAAACTAACCGTCCATGGCTCGTCCTGCATCACCTGAGTAGGAAGAGGTCCGGGAGCAGGGGGCCAGCTGAACTGATGTTCAAAGTGCTCAGCCCAACGAGCCATACGGCGCTCCTTATTGTGTATCAGCGCACCCGCGCTGTCCCTGATTGTCTCACTGACGCCTGGTTTCCTCGGACCAGTGGTGCGGATTAGCTGGAAGAGCTTGCGATAATTGCCTACGTAGAGGAATGGCATGCGGCCAACGAGTAAAACGGTTAACACAAGTCAAAATGAAAGTGAAATTGTTCGATGGAGGAAGCGGTCTGACTATGTCTAAGTGGACATGTCTAAAACGCGCCTCAGGTAGTGGGAATGTTCCGGGGGCAGAGATAGTGTGTCTGTGTACTTTGCTGCTCTGGCAGCTGAGACAGTGTTTAGCCCATTGGCGGATATCCGAGCGCATACTAGGCCAGATGAAACGATCAGTAATCAACTCCACAGTAGATCGAATGCTAGGATGCGATAATCCATGAAAATGGTCAAAGAAGGTTCGCCGGAAAGACTGTGGAACAAACGGTCTTGGCTTACCGGTGGAGACATCGCAGTAAATCCTTGCGTCTGAGTTTAAAATTGGTAACTGCAAGAATTTCAATGTGGTATTCGATCGAAGCTGAGCGAGTTCAGGACCGTTGTTCTGGGCAACAGACATTTCCTCAAGGTCTATTGGAGAGGACGACAGTTGATGTAGGTGAGCACGTGAAAGTGCATCAGCGACAACATTATTTGGACCATCGAGGTAGCGAATGTCGACACAAAATTGTGAGAGGTAATCCAGATGTCGGAGAATAGCGATCGGAAGCGGCACGAAAAGTGTAGACCAAAGGCTTTTGGTCCGTCAGAATTACAAAACGTCGTCCTTCAAGGAAATGACGAAAGTGTTTGAGGGCCAAGTAGATCGCGAGAAGTTCGCGACCGAAAGTACTATATCTCGTTTGTGCTGGTTGTAGCTTCCGAGAAAAGAAAGACAGCGGCTGAACCTCATTGCCGATTAGTTGTTGTAGTACAGCGCCGACAGCGGATTGTGAGGCATCAGTCTTGAGAACGAGAGTGGCTTTCTCGTCGGTGTCCAAGTAGCTAAGGGATGTTACCTGGCTCAACTTCTGCTTGATGGCAACAAACGCTGTTTCGGCTTCTGGCGTAATGATGAACTTTTTTGGATTACCTTTAAGTAGATCAGTCAAAGGCTGAAGAACGGCAGCACAATTGTCAATGAATCTTCCGTAATAATTAACCATGCCAAGGAATTGGCGCAGGTTTTTAACGGATTGAGGCAGTGGATAGTCCATGATTGCCTGGGTTTTCTCAGAGATGGGACTAATGCCTTTGCTATCAATTTTGTGACCAAGATAATCGACGTTAGATTGACCAAATAGACATTTATCAGGATTAATGGTTATCCCGTGATGATGGAAGCGTTCGAATACTTGTCGAAGGTGATTCAAGTGCTCTTCTGGCGTGGTACTGGCTATGAAAACATCGTCAATGTGGACAAAAACAAAGTCTAGACCACGGAGGATCTGGTCCATGAAGCGCTGGAAGGACTGTGCCGCATTGCGAAGGCCAAAAGGCATACGAGTGAACTCGTACAAACAGAAAGGTGTGATAACGGCCGTTTTAGCAATGTCCTCAGATGCCATTGGAATTTGATGGTACGCTCGCACAAGGTCAATCTTGGAAAAGACGGATTTCCCGGACAATCCCAATGAAAAATCATGAATATGGGGGATAGGGTATCTGTCGGGGATAGTAACGGCGTTGAGTGCCCGGTAATCACCGCATGGACGCCAATCACCGGACTTTTTGGATACCAGATGAAGCGGGGAAGCTCAACAACTGTTGGATGGGCGAATGATCCCGAAGTTGAGCATGTGCTCGAATTAGCGTTTAGCCGCTTGGAGCTTGTCAGGTGGAAGACGTCTCGGTTTGGCTGACACGGGTGGACCTGTGGTGACGATATGATGACGAACGTCGTGTTTAGACTCGGTAGAGTCAGTAGTAGAGCGAACCAAAGAAGGAAATTGCTGAAGCAACGATGAATAAGGCGTAGCGTCTGGCAAGAGGACGCGAAGTCCGACGGAAGTGACTGGGGCGAGATGGCAAGGGACAGTGAGCGAAGTGCTGCCGTCCCGTAACTTCCTGTAAAGTAGGTCGACAACGAGGCCGAATTTGCTAAGGAAGTCGATGCTAAGTATGGGTTTCTGGACATCTGCGATGGTAAAGATAAAAGGAAAGTCGCGTCGTAAACCAAGGCTTAGGTGTAACAGCTTTTGGCCGTATGTCGCGAGCTTAGTCTGGTTAACCGCCTGTAACGTAAGTCCAGCTTGTTGCAGAGGGCGTTTCTCCAACGAACGTAGTATAACGCTGATTTCTGCGCCCGTATCGACCAAAAAAATGAAGTTTAGTCGTGGAGTCGAACACGTACAGAAGACGACTGAGGATTTGGCCAGCGACAGCCGTCGCCATTACTGGCTGGCTTTGGCGTTTCCCGGTTGCGAAACCGGAGTTCCTTTCGGATATTTGCATCCCGGGCGACAGTTACGTGCTGCTTTACCGAAGCGACGGTGGAAATAGCAGTATGACCGCTGACGTGAGCGTGATGTGCTGCGGCGCGGAGCACGAGGACTTCTTCGGTTAGGAGTGCGTTCACGTCGAATAGCAGATATGCTAAGTTCTAGACGGGAGATTCTATCGTTGATCGAATCAAGCGTAGTGCTGTGAGATGGGCTGGCTGTGGTGGACTCAGCTACGTGATTAAGAGTATTTTTAAAGAAACATTCGTGCGTTTTGTCCGCAGCTTCTGCGAGCTTTTCCAGTGTGATATCGTCGCTAAGAACTGATAGTATCGCTGTGATGTTTATCGGAAGACATTTCGTCCAAAGTTGGCGGAGTATGGAGTCGTCGAGTTTCGACGAACCTGTAGAAAGAACTTTGACCACCTCAGTCTCTCCCATGTTGAATGTCTAGTTCTACATTGCTCGGCCGTCTGGATCGATTATGTTTGCTAACTCCCTTACTTTCCATTCCGTTGTGCTCTGCTCCGATGCTCTTAGCGAGTGACCCCGGTGACTCATCTTAACTTTACCCCGCCCCCATGGACCTGTCATTGTTCTCTTGACATAAGCGATTTTGTGTTCCCACAACTCATGTATCCAGTGTGACAGGTCTGTCTGTCCTCAGCCCGTTCCCGTTGGCGGACGCTTACGATTGGCTCAAGTGCCTTCCCATAACTTCGGTCTCACCTCTATGTCCATTTGTTTCGTGTGCACCTTGGCTTACGGACCTTTGGTGGAACTGATTGCAATCTGTTGGTAAACTTTTGTGTTTGGAAAACCGTTAAGGTAATTTCTACTTTGGTACGATGAATTTGTACAAATAGCACCGTTTTCTCAGGTTCGGATCTGGTCTTTTGTTGAATTTTCCGGTGGGGAACGCGTAGCTTAAATTTCCAAACGCTTTGTAGCGTTACAGTGCTTAACGGGGCTCCTGAATTTGCAACTTCTCTTCGCCTTGGACAACTCTCTCGGATCGCACAATGCCTAAGAATAAGAAGCCCTCCGTCGATGCCAATGAAGACTTGAAGGAATCCCGGCAAGTTCAAAATTTGTCCCCCGTTGGTGACACTGTTTCTTGCTCTGGTGTAGCGACTTGGCGAATGCTACACAAGAAAACCGTAGCCAAGTAAGACAGAAGACGGCAAGATAAAAAGAATGTCTTGAGAAAATAGCTATGTAAATATAGCTTGAGGACAGTGGGAGAGAGTGGTGAAGCAGAGTTACACCACGTCGGAGCACAACAGCCGGCAGCGCGCGGGCAAGACGGCGGACCCAGTTCAAAATGCAGTTCGGTATATATAGGCTTTGGAGGAGTGCAAAGTAAAACAAAATGTGTACAAGTCTGATGGCGATGCTTGATGAAATAAAATGTCATTGTCACTACACAGGCCTCCTCCTAGAAGGCCGAGGGACGAGGACTTCGATCGATGGTGGCTTGCAGATGTAAGAAAGGCAGAATTATAGGAGTTCGTTGGTATTTAGATTATTTATTCTTCTTGTGGATTGGGATGCATCATCGGTGGGCCGTCCCAGTGGGCACACCGGACTACAAAAAACTGGCTAATCCAGAAAAGGGGCCGGTAGGACCTTTCACCGCTGCTGAAGGACGGTGCGCTTGGGAGAGGTCACTCCCCCCACCGCATTCTAATCCACTGCCACAACGAAGCTGAAATCCTGTTCGTACCGGCGAGCCGTGGGGGGACCAAAAACAACGAGCCAAGCACACGAGCAGCCAAAGCCAGGAAGGCGAGCCAGACAAACGACCTGAGCGAGCCAAATTGAGCCAAGCAGACCACGATCCAAAGACCAACGTGGGTGGGCGAGACGACAAAGCGTTGGGGGTAGACCAAAGCATCCAAACGACCAAAACAATTGAGAAACAGCCAACCATTGAACGGACGGACCCAAACATGCCAGCCTCATGACTTTATCTGATAGATGGGGAAAAAAACTCGGGGACAGATTCCGATATGTACTCTGCTAACGGAAAACATAACACAAACGATGAGAGAAAATGAAAAAGATTCATGAGGTGTGGATGAGTTCGACAAAATCGGAGAAACGAACAGGTTTACGAACTTTTCTACCGTGACTGGTATTAGTTTGCGGCGAACCTGATGACTGGGCGTGTGATGGAGCTGAGAAGGTGGGCGTCGATACAAGTGGCTCTGTAGACTGCGTTAAAGTCGATGATGGAACAAACTGTTGTTCATCGATGAACGCAGGCTTGACGCGATCTATCGAGACAGTATCCCTTTTACCCCACGGTCAATCACCAAAGTTTTTGAAGACCGTTTAATAACACGGTATGGACCTGTGTAAGGTGCGGAGAGAGGCTGTCTCACTTGATCGACACGTAAGAATACGTGGGAACATGTAGAAAGGTCTTCCGGAACGTGCACTGGAGTGCGTTGTTCCCTGGGTCTCGCGGGATGCAGCTGACGCATGTGGTGCGTCAGACGAGCTATGTAACTCTTGTAGTTCCATGCCCTCTCCGGGGTTGGGGCGACTAATTGTCCAGGGAGACGCAATGTGCAGCCATAAACGAGTTCGACCGGAGCAGCGTTAATGTCGGCTTTGACAGTATTTCGTAAACGGTGGGAAGCGTTTCGTACCAGTCTGCGTTATCATGTGCACATAGTGCAGCTTTCAGCTGGCGGTGAAAACGCCCAACCATGCCGTTGGCGGCAGGGTGGAATGCAGTCGTTTGGAGGTGACGGCAGCCGAGGGTCTGAAGAAGGTGAGCAAATGTGCCTGCGAAGTGCGAACCTCGATCAGTTGTCACAACGGCAGGACAACCAAAGTGTGAGACCCAGCGCTCTAGAAAAGCGCGAGCGACAGTGTCTGATGAGCAATCTGGCATTGGGATGGCATTAGGC